CTTTCACCCATGACCCGTCTCAAAAGGGTTAAACGACTTTCTAATATGGAACTCATGCCAAACATTGGTGTAGAAGAAATTTTAGACTAAATATATTGTTTACTGGCCTGGCCATGCAATAAATCATCAAATATAAGTGAAAACCATGCATTTTGTGGATTACAGCATTGCTCATGGCAGGAAAGCAACTACAGAGGTTAAATCGTTCCCAGTTTTTTGCCAGCTTTTTTAAGCTGACATTCCTATTTTACATGAGTTAGGGTTGCATCTTTGATAATTAAATATGTAGCGACTAATGAATTCTATTTCAGTCACATAGCTGTTTAAAGGATATTCCCTGATATCTCTTAAGTGTTGAGAACATAATTTTAAGTCTTCAGAAGAACATGACAGAACACCAGTAGTAATAACACTGAGAATGCTTGTCTACCACATGTATATTAGAAATTGTTTATATTGATAACTGAGACATATCCTGAACTATTAGGTGAGATTTTGTAAATTTTGATGTAATATAAACAAATAAGTGAATAGTACCAAAAACTTGTAATTAGTTTTTTATATTATTATTATCATAGGAATCAGTGGCCAGTACTGAAACCAGCCCTTCTGAAGAAATTTGAAGCAGTTTATCTTTTGGGACTTGTTTTTTTGCAACTTTATTGCAGTTTTGGCCATACTTTTCTAGGATTGGACAAACGACTGCCTTTTCTGCCACTGCTTTTAATTTCAACATATTGTGCTCTTGGGATCCTTTATGCTTGGTTACGTTTTTATGGGTCACTCTTATACAACCAAAGAGAGCTTTGTGTGATGAATGTTAAGAAACAACAATAAAAGTAAATATTTCTACAATTTCAGTACTGGTGCTATGAGTTTATAGTCTTTGTTTTTATGGCATGGTTTTTATTTTTTATGAGATTTGTAACCTCTGAAGTACAAAGTCATAAAGGATTAATCAGGAGTTTCATTTCAGTACACATTAACATTTGTTTGATATAAGATAAATACGTTTTTTTTTTTTAGTTTTAGTTTTTTCAGATGTATTTTGATGGTTTTCTTTCTATCTTTAAGCTCAAACCATGAAATACTGTTCTCAAAGAATCATCTTAATTGATCAGTCATATATTTTGGTTTAGTGTGATTATCTTGTTTAACTAGGAACACATTTGTAAACATTTATACATGATTCTTTGAAGGTATTGTGAAGGTGAAACCTTCTTTAAATGTTGTGTCCAAATAGCAAATTTATTTTCAAATAGTGTTGGACATTTATAGACAAATGACCATTGTGTCATAAAAATAAAATTTAAATTATACAAACGAAATATTGCCAAAAATTTAAAATATAGTTATATGATGTAAACATGGTTTAATTATCTTAAATTTGGTTTGACATTGTTTTGAGCTTGCATATTTAGTAAATGTAAGTTAACCCATGTGTATAAGTAACAGTTTACTGCTTTACCCACAAAACAATACTGTAATTTCAGGTTCTGTCTTAGGTAATCTGAGGGCTAAAACAAGAACTTCATGCAGAATAAAATTTTACAATTATGCAATAATGATACCTCTATTGTTGTGAAGCCATTTAGTTTTTGCCACATTCTAAGATACATTTTTATGTCTCTTATGAAGCCCTAGTAAATTTATAGGTGTAGTTATTGATTTTCAAAAGTTAGTTTTATAACGGAAATATCCAAAAATCTGACAGTATTATTACAAAAAAACTGGAGTGCCAAGACAAGTATACTTTATTTTTCATACTGAGTTAAATGTTTAGTGTCAATAATACTGTGTCCTACCTGCAACTCCTAATTTTATATAGATTATTAAATCTGAAAAGAAACCTTGTTAGATATATCATTATCACTTATGAAAATTTTTCTTCTTAGGCAAGAGTCATTTACATTCTTAGTTACTTATAGTTACGTACATATTCTGAATAGCTTTGTCTGTATATCTGAAAATTAATCAGTACATGTAAGCAAGTTCTTTTGTAAGCAGTTAGAAAATTCACAATTTTTGTCACTTTCAGTTTTGCTGATAGTAATAATTAATATGATGTATTATTTCTTCCCCTAACTTTCGATAAGTGTATTTTATGTTTTCAGCTATGGTCATTTTCATTTATTTTTCATAAAAATTCAAATTACTTCCTGAAAGTATGAGCATGTTCTTAATAATTGAGTATCTTTCAAATTGGGAAAACCAGTTTTATAGTTATTTATCCAGTTAAGTATGGAATAAAATCTCTTAAAGAGAAATGGTGTTTGTATTTATGTTAGTATTTGATGCCTTTTTTTTGTAGGTTGTATTGCAAAAAATAATATATTGCATTATACTACACATCTTGTTACCATGCTTTATATATGCTATTAATCATATTTGAATTTAAGATTTGTGTTTTTGTAAAGTTTTGCACTATTTGCTATGATGAATTATAGAAAATATATAAGATTCTAGTAATCATATGTAAGATTATACTTTAAACACAAAGAGCCAAAAACCAATTGTAGAAGTAACATTTCTTGTATATTCTTCTTTTCTTTTTTTTGCAATATCATTAACATATTTAGAGGTATAATTTCTACTTATCAAAGATATTCAACAAACAACAGTTATTTAATTTTAAGTATGAGCTCTAATGCAATTTGCTGCTTTCTTTGCTTTTGTGTTCGAAAATACTCTGGTCTGTTTCAATCTATTTGTTGTGAATGATATTTATCAAATAAAGTACTGAACTGATTAAAAAAATTTTTTCATACTAATTTCATATACAAAACCCGATGATGATAAATTCTCAGTTGAAGAAATGTTATCTATTACATGTTTATGATTTAAAAAAAACATAAATTTAAGTAGTATTAGCTACTGGCTATTACCATAAACCTTGTTTTAAAGGCTGCTTTTTAATTCCATCACTTTTATTAAACAAATGTGAATAGTATTTCAGTTTATAGCATTTTATTTAAATCATTATTACTTTTCAAACACTTCTTTGTGAAATAGAAAATTTTAAGTTGTTTTACTGGATAATTTTCTGACTTCTGTCATAAACAATTTTGTTGAAACTTGGCAGTCTTTTCAGTTTCAGTGTGCCCAAAATAATAGTCACTAATGTTTGGTAGCTCATAAATACACTTCGTTTGAAAATAAAATAATGAATATTTTACAACTTATTTTAACTCAAATGTATTTTGAATTGTGTTTAAACCTCAGTATTGTTTCATTTTTGTATTATTTTCAAGACAAGATTCCCACCACTGATAAGCTGCTTGTGTTGTGAAAATGTTTTTTTGCACTTGCGATTTTACTCGGATCAGTTACACTGTATATGCTTGAAGGTGCCCTTTCTATTTTATTAAGTGTTTACAATTACTGTTTAAATTATTTAGAAGTCATACATCATTTTCACTTGTTGTTTTATTAGAAACAGACAAAGAAATTGCATAGAGGTTTGATCAAACATTGTATGAACCCGATATCTGCCCACTGTAGGGATTGACTGAGCTATGAAACTTATGTATTTGACATGCCAGCCAAGGGTTTCAGTCGACTTATACATCTGTAGACTTAGTTTAACAATACACAAGTACATATTCAAATTATTTAATAGAATATCACCTTGAACCAGATTTATACATCACCTACAACCAGAAATATGAATGAGGATGCTTCTACTTAAATCAAAAAATGGCCCGGCATGGCCAGGTGGTTAGGGTGCTTGACTTGCAATCTGCGG